ATTTGTAATTATGTTTTTTCCTTCAAATATTTTTCATTAAAATAACCTAAAAAGTTAGAATTTTCAATAAAAGATTTTTTTCAATAAAAATTTGCTTTTAGATAAGTATGTATGAAATAAGTATGAAAAAGAAATATAAAATATACTGAATCGTGTTGTCTGATAAATATTATAAAAGTTCCAAAGAAATTGGGGAAAATTTTAAAAGAAAATTTTTGAACACAGAAAGAACAGCTGAACCATTGTCAAATTTAACCTTCATCCGTCCCTCAGTTTTCAAACTTAATTTGTCCCTTGATGTTAGTTTAATATAATAGTAAAAATTAATACCCACAATGAAAAGATAAATTCTTAAATTTGTAAATCCTTTTATTAATAGTAATAAAATTTCTTACAGACATACATGTTCAATTTCTTATTTTCTTTAGTTTTGTCTGTTTTGTTGATTGTGATCATTTGTTTTAGATTTTTACTTGTTATAATTATATTCAAAACTGTAGATATGTACATACATCTTCAAAAAGCATTGAATACATAATTCTAGTATAATAATTAAAAGGTCTATCAAGGATTTTAAAAACAAATATTACTGGGTTCTTTCGTCAAAAATATGTTAGAAAAATAGCTGTAACAATGCCTCATTTCTGTACCTGTGTTTACAAAACAATTTTATAAGAGAAATTCGCAGAATTGACACAAGAAATTTTTTTCATTAACGAAATTTTTATTCAAATGCGCATAAGAGACGGACGAAGATTAAGAAAGTACTCCGTCATTTTCATTAAACGAAAAAATGACACTTTAAAACCTATAGTTTTAACATATAGTCTTTGTATTCTCTTAAACTCAATGAACTTTCTCTTTCTGAGAGGAAATTGGAAACATAAGTCTCACACGTTGAGGAAAATCCCGGTCATTCAGCAAACGACGTCTCGCATGACATGTGTGACGTTAATAGTATATCCCGTCCCTGGGAAGAAAGTAATGCAGTGCCGGACAGTAATGCGATAAAGTGCCGCGTTCCCTCGATACCGAAGTTCCCAGAAAACCCAATGTTCTCAGATGACTCGGTAACTAACCGCCGCGCCGGAAGAAATCCGCGCTTCTTCTCCCGATTTCTTTCGTGGCAACCGCAATGAGAACATTAATCTTCGTAACAGTGCATCAACCTGTCCGTCAAGTGAAACACTTATTGTTAGTGAGTACACTAACTTGCGACTTTATCGCAAAATTCAGGAATTCAGGAATCTGAAAAGTCAGATACTTTCGAATCTTAAGTACATAATTAATGCATTCTGGGCGATTCTCGAAAACGATGGACGATGCTTTACGAGCATGTCTTACATGTGACAATCGTTAAGCCTAAATTCGTTTTTTCGTTCTGAACAATCAAATACACATCTATATAAATTCTTGTGAATATCTTTCTCTCTCTTTCTTTCTCTGCGTACACGCGCGCATGTATGTGTTTCAATCTTCAAACGTTCCATTCAACAGAACGATAAAATATGCATCCATTGCACCATGACCTGAAACATTAGCGAAGAGATTGAAATCGGATGTTTCGCCGTCGCGGGTCAGTCTGGGGAAAGGAGACAAAAAAGAAACGAAAAAGAAGGCAAGGTAGGGATCCAGACTGAACCTTTGACCTCGGTGCAAGCCACGACAAAGTTCTCCTCCTCTGTTACACGGTCCTCGGTTATTCCAGGCTCGATGACCTCGAACCGAGGCTACGAAACCCCGAAGCCTAGACTCCATCCTCCGGAGGCCTAACGCGCCGTTATCGCATTACGTATGTGTACACACACACACACATATGTGCGTATATCATATTTCAGCTCTCTAGCAATCTCGCGTCATTTACCTGCTGCTACAATTACCAGAGGGCACATTGTGCAACACTGAAACGTGTATACCGAGTTGCAAGTCCTTTGAATTTTAGCGAGGGCAAACAAAGTACGAAGAATTCGTGCGATCACGCTTCGAATCAAGATAACCAACGGATGAACCACAGGTGAACGAACCAGTCGCCTCGAGAGAATAATCACGTTTCGAACGATTGGTCGGAGGAGGGAACAAGTCGGTTCATTTTGGAAGGAACGTAGCAAACGCGCAGAAAACGAAAATGAATGGCGATCGACGTAACGACCGGTCTCGAAGCAGGATTTACGTGCTCTCGGGCAGGATTCCGGAGATCCTAGAAGAAGAAGAAGACGAAGAACCTAGAACAAACCTGCGAAATAGCGAGCCTTACACGGCAGCCTACTGTAAGTATCGTTGGATCGCTCAATCGACCGGGAGGAAAAACGAGGAGCGAGTCTGGAAGGAGGAGGCGAACGATCGCGAACGCGCTATCCTCGCTTAGAGATGAAGAAAGAGAAACGTAGGGATGAACGAAAAGGATGAACCGAAGAGAGATACCGGAGAGAAGAAATAGGAAGGTGGAAAGGGAGCAAAAAGCGAGGGAAAGAAGAAATCCAGGAAGTAGTCAGTTGCAAACATAAGCAAAACGTATACGGAAAGCCGGTGACTTGCGTGCTTTCAGCTTGCACAGGCGAATTACTCGACCAACGCCGGCAATCTTGAACGACTTCCTCGAGTTGGCTTCGTCTCTTAACACTTTTATGAAAGGACTTGCTCGACGACCAGTTACACCTATCGACTTCCAACGATTTATTCTTCGCTGCGCTGGATTGATTTACGAACATCGCGTCTCCCTTGGAAAACGAGTTACCGAGAAACCTGTTATCTTTCGTCTCTCTAATTAAATTATCGAAAAAAAAAACGT